ATTCTAGGTGTTAATGTACATATACACATCGTAAGCGGAGGCCATATGCTCCTCCTCCTCCTCCTCATATCTGTATATCAATTCAATTCGCCCCGCGGATGCCAAGTACAATACCACATGAGCATTTAAAGGTTCCCGAACTACGAGTTACGGTTTAGTTAGCTACTATACGAGTACGTGTAAATAATACTAGATGATGTACAATATAATACGAGTGTGTTGTTTGTTCGCCAATGACTTTGTGATTCATTGAAGTTACTAAAACTGATTAATTTACGCTGTAATTTCAATGTTCTTAAACGAAAATAAAAGTGTATTTGTAATTACGAAGTTAAAGCATACATCTTATGTAAGTTTCAGCATTTCCATGGTTATCTATAAGCACATAGAACAGTATTAAGATCTAATCTAAGGACTAGCAGTAGGGAACGAGTATCACAAGTAAGATATTGTAGGTGGAGTGAGCCAAGCGACCTATCGCTTTCTAAGGGAGCTGCGGTATCGCTGGTAGAAATCCTCCATAGCCCGGTACTGGGGCTCCAGGATGTCGGGTATCTCCTTGTCCAGCGAAGCGAAGTACACCATGGCCACCGAGCTGCTGCCCCTGAATTCCTGCTCATAGCGCCGCAGCTGCTGGAAGAATCCGGAGTTCGGACGAACCTGAGGCCTGATGGACTGCACATGCTTGTAGGCCTCGCGGAGACTCATCCCGGCGTGCTTCATCAGGTAAGCCAGGCATAAACTGGCCGATCGGCTGACCCCGGCCACGCAGTGGATCAACGTGCAGCCACCGGACAGACGCACTTCCTCGATCAGATCGGCCACCTCATCGAAATGCTTGTACAAGTCCGCCTCTGAACGATCCTGGACTGGGATCCGCAGATACAGTGGATTCTTTTGACTGGGCAGTGGGGTGTCGGGCATTCGGGGGCCACGTTGATGACGCAGCTCACGCCCAGCTTGTCCATGTAGGCGGGCACCACCGCCGCCGCTCCGCAAAGGATCAGGGAGGGGGTGAGGCGGGACAGGCCAGGATATGGGGTGTGATCCTCTGGGGAACTTAGCTTGCTGTAAAAGAGAAAATAATATGGGGCATTTAGATTATAAGTGTTTTTTTAATAGCAAACTTGTTTATAAAATGAATGTTAGGATAATTCCTTTTACTTGCAAAAAATTATATTAACGAAATCCTATCATCCTAAAAATTCGCCCAATACCAAGCATATATGATATTTGGTAAAAAATTTGAATTACCCATAATTAAATATATTTTAATACCCTCCTGACCCAAAATATTTAAAAACTGAATCGTAAACAAATGATTATGCAATTTATCAAATTTGGAGATGGTAACAATAGATATACAAATGTTTCGGTTAGACTGCCAAATATTGCTGCGTATGAATTCTTGGCTGGATAGCCAGATGCATTTCGTATATGTACGTATATTAATAGAGGGTGAAAAACCGATAAAATAAGAACAATTCTCACGGGAACAAAGGAGAACATTTGGTGTTACGCCAAACACAAATATCTCATAAACAAATGGCAGGAATTCGTGTATTTTTGCGTAGTACTGCAAAAGCTCTTCAACATGAAACAGGCAGGGTAATTTTTGTGAATGGAAACTAAAACAACAATCAACAAACGATCCCAACCCATCCAATCCCAGCAGATCCCATCCCAGCACCTACGTATTTATCAGACGACGTCATGGTTTTTTGCGCTGCGTAGGCACAAACAATAAACATATTGCCATGTACATATAGGTCTACCCAAATTTGTATCTGTACACCTCAAAAATGGCTGTTTATAATTAGTTTCGCGGAGTGTATAATAAATGGAGGCGAAGTGAAAATAGAATGGATCTATAATGGTATTTGGCGAATGCGTAAACAAACATATCAGTCATCATTTAAATGGTATATTATCTACAACGCGTATGATCTTGTTTTTGAATCAGTTTAATTACAATTAATTACAAAAGGTTAGTTATCTTTTCATTTAAAAAGACAAATATTTATAACAGATCTTTGGATGTTTACGTAAACAAAAAAACAAAACATATTATCTTTATTTTGATCAAAACATTCTTAATGTTCCTATATGGCAACATGATAATTTAATTGGAGACCTGCCATCTGGTTCTTTTGGGCCCTATCCATCAACCCAATCCCCTGGACAGCCCCCTTGTCATCAGAGATCAAATGGAAGGTGCCCAGACCAACCCCCTCTTCATTTTCCCGCTTCTGTCATCGCCGCCAAAAGTTCCTGCCACTGAGGAATGTAAATGTAAAATTAAACACTCGTCTTATTTATACGCCGAAAATATAGATACCCTTTCAGAAAGTCAAAAATTGTGAAAAAATATATAGAACCCTTTTTAAATTATATAAAAATAGTGGTAATTTCGTGGACAATGAATATTAATAAAATAAATTCTATATTAGTCAAATAATTTTAAATCCGAGCAAATTTTCATAATTCATTAGAGTGTTGCCATTTTCTGTGTGTCAAAAAAAATGTCTTTTTGTTTTTATTATATGTTTACGGCGACTTGGCGTCGTCATTAAATAATAATCACGAATTCCGCTGGCAAGGCGCCAAAATTAATCATCGGTCACTTTCACTAGACCAAAAGCCACTGGCATCGGCAGAAAATTTTGTGTTTTGAAAATAAGTGAAATTAAAATATTTCACACCGCCGCCTTTATGGATGATTTTGTTTTTTTATTATCACCAAATGCAAAAATAAAAGCAAGAACAAATTGAGATGTTTTCGAATTCCAAGTCCATTATTTATGTATTCGCTAAAGAGTGGTGGAATTTGAAATCTTGTCGCTGGGCTAGTTTTGCATTGTCGATCACATGGTTTTGTTTTTGAGAAAAAACTAGGTTAATGTGGGGTGGGAAGATACAATGATATTTTATGCTTGTAAAACTCGCCATTCTTTTGTATATCTTGTAAATTGCGAAAAAATTCCATCCCGCAAAAATTCTTTAAAGTCGATATTAAAATTTTTACCTCGGTCCCAGAAAATTGGGTATTTTTCGACTGCCAAAATTTTTGACAGACCTGCGGACAGACCTCCGTCTGCCCCATGATAAATGACTAATTTCATTTTCGCAATTATGGTGTCCTTGAATTCAATTGTCAGAGTCAGGGCCTCCGATAAAGAATGCCAAGATTGCGCCGAAAAACTCAAGTATAATTTAAATAAAGTCCCATAAATTTTGCATTGCAATGTGTACGTTGTATACACATTTATTTCCGACATGATTTCCGCGTTGAATAAATGGGACAATAGCAAAAAAGCGGGCCATGCTCAAAATATGCCCAGATGTAAATACATTGGAATTCAGGATGGAATTTGGTTCAAAAAACAAATTGGATTTGAAAAACGCATGTGTTTGAATTGGGTGCATATGAACTATGAAGTATTGAGCTTCAAAGGGAGCAAATTATAAGTTTTTGCATTAAAATATACATTTATACAAATTATGTGCTTTTTTAAATTTAAATTTTGAATTGTATTCATATTCATTGTATATAATATTCACAAAATTAAAATTATAATCCTTTAAAAATGAATTTTATGTTATATTAAAAAGGATTTAGTAATAATTACTTCTTTAAAATGTGATTAGTTATAAATAAAAATCCTAAATGTACCTACGAATTTTATAAAACACAAAACAATGCTGCATAGTTACGTAGTAAGTTCGTATAAAATTTCTAGTTCGGACCGGTAATTACAATAATTAATTTTAAATGGGACCAATTAAATTGTCGGGCAGCAACAAAGGTGCGTTTGCGGTGACATCAGCGCAACCTTGACTGTATACACAACTTAGTAGGGCGCCACTTTAGTGTTAGTGATTAACAAAAACGGGCTCAAATGGCGACCGCAAACAAATGTTTTGAACCTACGAGATATGCGGGCAAATGACTCACTTTTGGCAATTTTCGTTCTCGACATTCTCATTATCAAATGGGACAATTCCTCCGATCCCGCTGACTAGTAGCTCCTGCATGTTTATGGGCTCAAGAATTCGCGCGCCACTTAAACAAGAATTTACGCTTCGCAATAAACAAATTCCACGGATTCCAGGGGAAAAATAAAAACTATTTTCCGCCTTGGTCTCTCTCCGGCGATTCGGTTCGGTAAACAAACTGAAGTTCTTTGGGAACTCAGTGGGGGAAACGATGGATAGGTACTATTCTTTTTGGCAAGCCAGAGACGACTGAGCGACGGCGAACAGAAATGCTTTCGAAAAAGTTTTCTGTTTTCAGCTGATGTGGTGAGTTTGTGCGTAAAGGTGTTTCGTGTGGGTGCCGCGAGATGGGAATTCCACCTGTGGGAGCACTGCCAACGATTTTTGGTTTGTAATTATGTGGGCAAATCGGATGCACTGCATTCATTTGGATACTATGTTGCCAATTATTTACCCTGGCAGAGGGCGTTATAATTTAATTGGTTGGCATTCTGCTACTATACATTTTTAGTTACGTATTTTAAAATTTTATAATAGATTTAATATGTCGTTTAATTAGACCCGTTCTCAAAGAGTAAAAGGGTTTGTTGTAGTCCTTTGAAAGTATGTACCAGGTAAAAGGATGGTTCAAGGTATTTATATTCTTATCTAGCCGCGACTGGCTTTCCGTGTGAACTTTCTCTTGTTTTTGTTTTTACCCTTATCCAGAAGATAAATACTTATTATGCTTACGGATGCATCGTTTTCTCGTCCTCATGCTCAAGATAATCTAATTGTAGGGTTTTGACCTAGAAATCGTGGAAATGCAGAGTTTTAAACTCTATATAAAAACTACTTGAAACTTAATAGAGAACGGTTATAAGTCTGTAATATGTTAAGCTTTTCCCGCGCTTTAAGAACACGTTATCAATATAATCCATTCAAATGGCCACACTTTTTCTGTAATTCGAAAATACTGGTATATAAATGGTATTTTATGAAAACCTAATGGTATTTAATGGTATTGGTTGCCGCACGTTCACACTCATATCTAAGCGCGAGACGAAAAAGCAGACGCTACAGAAATTCCGGCAAAAACAAATTGGAATCGCACACGAATTAGCTAAGCTACACCAATCCAAGATGGGCAAGGAAAAGGCTGCCAAGTCGTACAGCATTGGCGACCTGGTGTTCGCCAAGTGAAGGGCTACCCGCCGTGGCCGGCCAAGATCACCAAGAGCAACAACAACAAGAAGTACAATGTTTACTTCTACGGAACGGGGAGACAGCCAACATCAAGTTGGAGGACCTGTTCCCCTATGCGGACAACAAGGAGCGGTTTGCCACCGAGAAGATCATGAAGAGGGCCAAGTTCATCGAGGCCATCGAGCAGATGAGAGCGCTCTGCGCGGCGAGGACTCGGCGCCCATCGATTTGCCCGGCACTGAGGAGTCAGTTGCTCCTCCCGCCGATGCAACCTCCGATGCTGCTGCTGCTGCACCGAACCGGCCAAGAAGGAGGACCCAAGGAGGCAGGGGAACAGCTGCTGCAACTGCTCCACCGGCGGCGGTGGTGGAGAAGCCCAAAAGATGCCAGCCGGAAGACCAAGGCACCACCACGCCATGTGGACGGCGACAGCGAGGGGGCGGCCAAGCCACCTCCTCCTCCGCCACGGAGGCAGCTCCTCCGCCAGCCAAGCGGCGCGTGCCCACCGAGGGTCTGGGCTCCGGCGCAGCGAATCCCGCTCCTGCGGCCCCGGCCACCACGTCCGGCAAGAAATCCGTTAAGAAATCCAAGCCCACGGCTGCAGTAACTCCATCCAGAAACGGGCAAGGCCAATCAATGTAAGTATGAGCCAATTAAATAGGTCACGGTGATGCGATAAATAGCTAGGTACTTTTATTTAGCTATGTTCAACAATTGTACCTGACAAACTTAATAAACAAGGGATTCCTTATAAAATTAAAGTTTCTCAGCACTTTAAGCATTTAAAATATAACTTAATAGGTAAAACGAAAACATTCCCTTTTTAACAAAATTATTATAATTTTTATTCACTGCAATAAATAATATAACATCAGGAAAAAATCACATGGCCTCTTACGTCCTTAGATCATTTCAAATTCCTGACCTAACCCAGTAATAATATCAGTTCATATTGAGCAACAAATTTAAATATAATTTATAATTTCACATAAAAATCTTTCTTATCACCTGATGCAGTCCGAATTGCGGTAGATAATCTAGTATCATTTTTGCCCACTCAGAACATCCGGAACGAGATGCTTATGGTTATATGCCCACGGCCAAGTGTTTGGGCATTGACATGAACTACAACAAGCCGGACATTTTTGAGAGCGCCGCCGCCGAGGAGGCTTGGCTGGAGAAGTCCCGCAAGGAGGCCATGGAGCTCAAGCTGAAGCTGGAAAGCGGTCAACTCGAGCCGGAGACCATGCCGGAGAGGATAGTGGTGGAGCCAACTCGCAGCGAGATACCCAAGCAGGAGGCCTTGCGGTTCATCGAGGAGCTAATTGAGCACGAGGATGCTCTGTTTATGGAGCGCGATTTCATCCAACTTTCCCAGCAGCTGCGAGAGTGCCTGGGATTGCGGCGAGCCAATGTGGGCAAGTGCCTGGAGATTCTCGACCAGTTTAAGGAGGTGGAGCTCACCAAGCTGATGCTGCTGCGCAATCCGGAGTGCGTGGACATAATGCGGCGATTGCGACGCTATGTGGGAAACCTAGAGCTCTGGAAATGGACCACTCCGACGAGGTGGAGTTCAAGGAGAAGGCGCAGATATTCGCAAGGTGTCCACCGGTATATACGATGGCTTCAAGAGTCTTTTTAATCCGGAGCCCGAGAGCGAGGATAACTTTTGGATCGATTTCTGCGAGAAGGTTAAGATCTACAAGACCTACACGAAAAATATGAACGAAAACCTTCGCGTAGGAATGAACGAGCGCAGCTACAACAATCTGGTTGTGGCCAAGGAGGGCTCCGCCTCCGGCGAAGCCGTTCCGCAGTAGAAGATGAGTGTTTAAGGGCCAGCTCTGCTAGTCCATCTGTACGATAAGGTGTGTTTTAAAAAAGCCAAATTTCACTTGAACTTCTTTAACACTCTTATGCTTGCAGTTACTACTAAGCGTTAAAAACCGAGCAAATTGAAGACCTTGCTCTGGAAGACGAAGTTTCGATAAGCCGAGTGTGCTATTGCTTAATTTCTAGGATTAAAATTCATTTAATTTCCTTTAATGAAACCGAACCCTTCATCTGTTTGCCTACTAGGCGCATATCCGTGCATTGCTCGAGATGGGATTTCTCCTGCCGCACCCGCTTAATATACCACCAGACTTAAAGCTTTTTAGCTTCGGATCCCCAAATATTTACTAAGTGTGTAGATGATTTTGATTGATAATGAATTAAATATAGATGGTACATACTCTCAGACCTTGTTTGAATTTATACTTGAATTTCCATTGACATGCTCAGACATACAAAATAAAAGTATTTAACATAATGAATAGTTTATTATTATAGAGAAACTTAAACGGGTGTAATCTAAAGTAAATTCATTCGCTGCCTTAAGCTATGGAGGATCAGTTGCCCTCCTTGACGTCGCCTATGCCATCCGGCAGAATGGCGAACATGGCCTCCGATTCAGGCAGACAAGGCGAGTCGTATATTTGCAGATGCGCGTCTCGCCCTTGCCCTTGCGCAGATACAGCCGGGTAGTGGAGGAGTGGGCCATGATGTGGCCCCCGATGGGCTTCTTGGCATCGCCGGCAAACATGCCCGGCCCGCTGTCCAGCGAGGCAGTCACCTGGTTTGTGATGACCACCGCCACTCCGAACTCGTCGGCCAGGCGTTGGAGCATGCGCAGAAACAGGCCCAGATGGTTTTGTCTGGCTGCCAGCTCACCGCGTCCTATTAATCCGATCGGTAGAGAGCCATGGCACTGTCCACAATGACACGGCGTATCTGTAAGATGGGCGGGAATTAAAATGGGTAAACAGGATGATAGTATGAGTTATCGCAGCATACCTGGACTCAAAGAGCATGCCCGCTGCCATTTGGATGAGCCTGGTCTGCTGGTCGGAGTTGTAGGCCCTGGAACAGGCCACATTGTCCAGCACCTCGGCCTCGTTCAGCTTGAATCTCTGCGCAATGGCCGACATCGCTCCGGACGGAAGGTGTTTCCGTGTCGATGTAAGGCACTTGCCTTCGCCGCCCTTCTGGCTGATGGGCAGTTGGCAGGTGACCGCCAGGGTGTGACAATCTGGGTCTTGCCACAGCGGAATTCGCCGAAGATCTCCGTGATTGATCCCGTCTCAATGCCGCCACCCAGCAGCTTGTCCAGCTCTTTGGAACCTGTGCTCAGCTGCACCACATCCGCACGCATCTGATGAAAGGTGCGGGCGCTGAGGAAGCCCAGTGGCACCAGTTTGTTGGCCTCCGTAATGATCTGCTCCACTTTGCCACCACCCAGGCCGGGAATGGCCATCAGTTGCTTCTTGGTTGCATTGGCCACCGCTTCCACGGTGTGTAGACTAGCCTGTTGCAGCAGTTTGATGTCCTTGGCCGTAATGCTGCCTCCCTGAAGGATATACATTAAAGGAATGCCACAATTCTGGCCGAGATCGCTGGGTATCACCATTAATTTGGCCACGCTGAGGGGACCCTCCTCCTCCTCTCCTGGGCCTGGGCATTCGTTAGCTTGTCCATTTGACAGATACTTATTTGTTTTGGGTTTGAATTTCTCTTTTAAAATTCTACGTTTTGCATGAGACTAGGGAATTTCGTCAAAAATTGGAGCCGCGCAATTTACCAAAACAATCGGTTTGCCATTCGCCCCGAACGCATAGGTATTGGAATATCCCACAGCGGACACCGCCTAAAGAGGACAAGAGAGATCACCATGGCGCAATATTATTACTTTGACATAAAACTGTAAGTGGTGGAATGTTCCGAACTCAGATAAAGTTAGTGGTTGACAAATATATATTTCTTTATTCCCTTAGCAAACTGCGAGATCCGGATACAGTGGTTTTGACCCCAGCCCTATTTCGTAGCTGTGTTCTCAATGCCTTGGATAGTTTTTTTTGTGAGGAGAAGCCCACCCTGGAATCGTAAAGTTCTGCGCCCAGCAGCAACGCGTTATTTTTCGAGTCCCAGAGGACCTATATGAAATGACACGCATCTCCCTGGATCTAATAGGCCACTACCAGGAAACGCCATGCCATTTCCAGGTTCTCCAAACCTCAAAATCAGCTTAGACTTTGAGAAGAACATTGAGAAGAGTCACGTAAAGCTGCCCGATACCTAATGCTAGCGATTTAACCTCTTATTAAACACCCATAAACCTATGATTGTGAAATATAATACCATAACCGTTACGGAATATTTGAAATTTGCCATTCACAACGAATTAGAGTTGCTTAGCCATGCCGTAGATAAGTAATTAAAATGATATCAAAAATCATGTATTTAATGTTATTTATACATAACTTGAAAAAAAAGATCAAAAAATAAAGATAAATAATTAATCTCATTTGAATAGCTACATATTAGCTATTTTTACCACCTCTCATTGTAAACCGCCAAGCTGCCATCTCTGCCTGCGACAGCTGTTCGAAAAGCAGAAAGAAACGTTAAAAGGGAATAATTACATAAAAAAACACACTGACCGGCAATTTTGGACCGCTTTTCCCGAAGTTTCCACCGAAAAGAGATCCCGTGTAGAATTACGGGAGTTAGACTTGCATGTAACCAAAGCATGAGTGGTTACCAATACCTGGACGTGAAGCTGTGAGTTCGAAATATCCGTATTCCATTTGCCACACGTGCGCACGTGCATCATTTGGAGATAGTGAAAGTAATCCATGTTTTGGTACCCCTAGGAAACTCCGTGATCCAGATTCCGTGACCTTGACGCCCGTTTTCCTCTGCGGCTGCATCCTAACTCCTTGGCCAGTATTTTCGGCGAAATCGGTGGCCAAACCGCGCTGGAAATTGTGAAATTCAGCTCTAGCCAAAAGCGATCAATTTTCCGGGTGCCCGAGGATTTCCTGGAACGCGTCCGCATAGCCATATCCCTGATAGGCTACTACCAGGAGGAGCCCTGCCATTTCCAGGTGCTAAGCCATCCCGAAAGCCATTGGACTTCGAGGAACCCGACGCGGAATTCATAGCATTTAACTAGGATGTCGTTTTCCTACTGCAAGGAGTACGGCAAGGACAAGGTGATCTTCGTCACCAAGGAGGATCATGCCACGGCCAGCACCATCGAGCTGCCGCCACCGGAACAGCCGGAGGGTGTGATCACCAAGGACGGCAAGATCAACTGGAGTTGTCCCTGTCTGGTGGAATGGCCACCGGTCCCTGTGGCGTCGACTTCCGCGAGGCCTTCTCCTGCTTCCAGAACAGCACCGCCGATCCCAAGGGATCCGACTGCTACGAGGCTTCACCAAGATGCGCGACTGCTTCCAGAAGTATCCCACCGTTTACAACAATCGGCGGCGATGACGACGACGATGATGCCATGGGCGATGCCTTGGACACGGATGCTGGGTCTATTGGCGGCCAGAACGCAGATCCGCTGGCGGATGTGGGCAATCCTGGAGGCGGCGATGAGGCGGTGCCCCCAAAGCAACTCGGTGGTGCCCAAGGCCTAGGTTGGAGAGCGGGTGTCGTATTCAAATTACTTAAAGATAAGAGCTAGGTGTGACTTCGTACAAAATAAATAAAGCTTGTCATAGTTCTGGGCCATTCGGCTCCAATCATATTACATCCATCGTGACTGTTGCAATTTCATATTTATCTGCCGAAGAAGTAGAAGTTGTTGAAGTAGTTAAAATAGTTAAATCTTTGACAGTAATAAACTAAAACTAAACCCTTAAATAAAATCAATTAAAAAATGTTCTTATTTTTTAATTTCATTATTATTTAAGGACCATGTTAATAAAAGATTTAAAGTAATACTTTCTGTGAATATGAGTCCATGGCCATGTTTAATACCAATTTTTTAATTTTTTATAGAAAATAGAATCAATGAAAAACCTTAAGAGAACGAAATCAAAATATTTCAACATAAGTTGTAGATTTATGTGAAAGTACACATTTTAACTTAAGCAAGTTTTAAAAAGTTTCTGTTCAGACTAAGTTCAAGTAAACTTTTTTAAAATTTTTTCTGGTATTCACTGTACCTAAAAGGCGTTATACTGTTTTCCGGGACCTTGCAGTATACTTGTGGTATTTTCCAGAAGCGCTAGTACTTTGAAGCGGTATTTTCACCACCCTGCTGCCACACTGTTTACGAAGAAGCGAGCAAAGGAAACGGAAAAATAAAAGCGTATTAAGATTCGTGTGGAAAGGAAAAATGCTGTAGGCGCAGTGTAAAATGCATATATGCTAATAAATCGCGTTTGTGAGATGCTAAAACGCGAATTCAACATCAAATCGGTGCAGAACTTCAAGGTGCAATAATAGTAATACTCGAATTATCGAATATACCAAAGTGCAATTGGCCAGTTGAGACTACAACCACAATAACAACAACAGCAACATCAGCAGTGAAATAATATAATAACCTTGTTTTTGTTTTTTATTTTGTCGATCAGAAATCGGAAATATATATTCAAAATAAAGCAAGGTGAAGTGTGTTATTAGCTTAAATAATAAAAGTTCAAAAGGAAAACAGAGTTACGGTGTGTGCGTGTGCGTAGTGCCAACAATACAAACGCAACAACCAACACAAGCGCACAGCTAGTTTTCAAGGAAAATAACGAAAGCAACAGCGATAAATATACCAAACTAAAAAACCACAACAACGAAGAGTCTCAAAAAGTGCTGGAAAAACTCGCGATAAGAAATTATAACAAGAAAAAAACGGAAAAACAGGAACCTACACATCGACAGATATTTTTGATGTTGTGATTTTGAATGCTGCTGCATTTTGAAATCCGGCGACAAAATGGTTTCGTTAATTGATACAATCGAAGCGGCAGCCGCGAAACAGAAGCAATCGGTGGCCACCAACTCCTCCTCCCCCACTTCCTCCTCGTACTCCTCCTCACCATCTTCGTCATCTGGATCCCCATCTTCGGCTGCCCCAAAATCCAATCTCACGGCCAGTGGAAAACCAAAGGAGAAACGAAGGTGAGTCATAGGGGATTACATCTGGACCCCATAGTATCTCACTGAACTATACGATCCCTCGATCGGAATCCATGGATCTGCTTAGATCAGTTGTTTGCCCATTGCATAAGCGCCTGCTTTCTTTTTCGCCCTCTTCGTAGCGATCGTAGAGCTCGTGGCGGCTTTGGTTGCTATCCGTTGTTTTTGCATTTCTTCTCAGTTTCCAGGGGTATTTCGTTATTTGTATGCCCTGGAATCATTTATGCATGAAACCCCTATCGAAAAGGGTTAGTTTTCATTGCGTGTCCCGATTAAGATACCCAATGTATTTAATTATATTCTTTCCCTGCTATTTTTGCTTTTTTGGTTACTTTTAGTTTTCTATAGGTTATTGTTATTTTTATGATTTCGAATCGCTTTTTACTTTATCTAGGGGTTGTTTTCATTGAGTATATTTAAATGGAAGCCCTTAGGGAATCTGTTATTGATCTGATTCGTACGTTGCTATGATCTGAAATTAATTTTATACTATGTCATTGGAACCCTGTCCTAGAGGAGGTTTCTTATCTTCTTTCCAACCCGAATTAATTTTATTACCATTTTGACTTTCATGTTCCTTTGATACATTAAAGAAAATTACATTCATCAAACATTTCTTTTCTTAATCTGTGCATATCGTGATATATTTGTTTTCCTTCTAGTGGTTGGTTATCTAATAGAACTTGTCTTGATATAAGTGATCTGTTCCACAATTCACTTGTGCCTGAGATTCTTTAAATTTTTAATAGTCTTCCATATTTCGATTGATTGAATTTACTAGTTATTTGGCTGTGTTTATTTGTTTTTTCTCTAATTGGAACGCAAAATTTGATTAATTTTTGTACAAAAATAGTACAGACAATACATACGTAGAGCGCAAAATTCTAATTGGTATAAAGCACTCTCCATTGTATCGCCATTCCCAATATTTTTCCTCATTGCAAAGTCAAATTCACTGAAGTCTTTCCCGGGAGGGAAATGGATTTTCCTTAATTTAATCTAAATTACGCTTCATATTATTAACACCCCTTATTGGGCGTCACTGGTTGACGAAAGAGTCCTGAAGAGACTGGGAAAAAATGAAAAGCCAATCATTAATCACGCGATCAACCAATTTTTGCATTCGCGGTAATTATTATACGAACCGGTGACGGAGGTAGAGTGATAGAGAAGGAGAATCCAACGGCCGAGACCCACGACCTTCAGATATAGACTTTCAAAGACAAAAGTCGCGACGATCCGAACCGAAATCGTTCAGTTTGCATATGCACGATTGGTTTCCGCAGTGGAATATGATATCTAGGGTGCTTATAAAAGACAATTGCACTTGAGGTAGGAAACACTTGTTGCTCCCTAGAGAAGTACATATGTCCTCTAAGGGTTATATTCTCATCTTTAAGGCCAAGCCCCCAGAGGCTGGGATTTATTTTTAGACGAATGCATTGTTCTTCGATTTCCTTACGCACTGTGGGTTATTTTTGAGTCTGGGCAAAATCGAAAACAACGAGGAAAACCAGTTATGTTTACCCCTGCGCCCAAAAAATCAACCTGTTTTGTATTCCTCGTGCTTCTTTTTTATCAGCTTTGTTTTGTTTTTGATTCAGTTTTTTCCTTTTTTTGGCCCACGCCCCTCTGGAAACTTAAATTTATTTATTTTATAAGCCCATAAACCGACCAGTTAATGTTTAGTCAAGACATTTACATTGGATCGAAACAAAGTTTCGATTTGGCCTACGTGACAACCATAAAACTAAACTTAAAAACAAAATGTGAAAAGCTGAAAAGCGGTTCTATAACCATTTTCACAACGTGCTCTAGCTTTGATAGACCCACTAACCGACTATTCGCATTTTCCCATTGCTTCGAACTGGTTCCAATATATTTTTGTATGCGAATTGTGAAAACAATTGACTTTTGGTTCAGTTTAATGGGAAATTGATTTAGAGAAAGCTTTGCCCAGAAATGTTTTTCCTTGTTACACAATTATTTTTTGTACTTTTAGCCCCAAGTCATAAAGAACTAATCTTAAATCATCTATCATATCTGATGTTCCACATATTCATTCTTATCAATCAATATTGTTAATCGAATTTGTTTTCGATTGCCACTGGTTTTCGATACTTTATCGACCCGCTCTTTCGATTGCACCTCTTCGAACTTGAACATCGTGACTGCAACGACAGTATGACCTCAATAAAAGTGAATTAATACAAGTTGGCTCGTATACGGGGTATTCGGGGGAGGCAAAAATCTTAATCGAAATTATGGTTTGTTTTAAATAAGTTTTATGACCTGTGCCTCGGAAAACGAGAAATAAAACTTAAAAAGCAACTTGACAATAAATTAATTTTCAATACCAACGCAAAGAAACGCACAAAAGTAAAACACGCTTACACACATTCCCACATGTGTGTGCTGTAAAATATTTAAATGATATGCCCTGTTGTTGTTTTTCTTTTATTGTTGTTGTTTTTCGTCTGGCCACGACGACCTACTTTTTGCGCAATCGAACTAAAAATGTGACGACACGGGGAGGATGGAAACGCCCAAGGGTGGTATTGTGGGGTATTATATAGAGAGGAAGAGAGATGGATGGTAGTGTGTTCGAGCATTAGGCTCGTGGAGTTATTGTTGGTTTTCTTTTCGCCTTCCTCTTTATTTATCATCCACACACTTTTGTTTTGCTACCAATGCACCGGAAAAATTGGTACTTGTAATGAAAATATTGTAGGTTTTCTTGAATCATTTGTAACTTTAAAAACCTGGGTTCCGTTTGGGGACAACAAATCGAAGAAATAAACTTTTTTAGCAAGAATTTAAAACTTAAAACAAGTTTTGCTTTGGACTTAAAAAGGAGTGATCAACATTTTGACTCGATTAAAATATCTTTCTATTTAACCGACGAAAAGTAAAATACTGATTAGAAATAATATTGATCTGATGCAATTTCTAAATGAAAACCTAAAGATTTTTTTCGGTGTATAAAATTGATCTTGGTGCAGCGACAAAGACAGATATATCAAAAACGAGGGAGACAGAGTGAAGGTAACGCAGCTTCCGAATCTTTTTCAGTTGTTCAGTTGTATGGGATCTATATGCCTCGTATTCGGTGTAAATTATGATTCTGTTTTTGCTGGCAGGGAAAGTTTAAATTTATATTTAACGACGAATAATTTGGAATCAAGTGGCTGAAAAATGCTTTTCAAGTCTTGTGAAATTGGGCAAAAAGTTGTGGATTGGGATATAAAGGAACCTGTTTGGCAATAACTTTTTGCTTGGGAAATACAGAGGTCTACTTAAGATTATTGCCAAGAACAAAGGAACTTTTTCTTGGAAAGGGACAAGGATCTTTATGATCATCTGTTGAGGGTCATGTGTTGACATACATGTTTTTAAAAAAACTGTAAACCTTAATAGTTTTATGCTTTCGTAGATCACTTGACAATTGTCGACCGTTCAATCCGAAATTTCGTTCATCGGTAGTATGTCAAAATTGGTTTTGCTTTTCGCCAAATAGATCTCACCTGATAATTTTTGAATTCAATATATAAAGTTACTCATATATACATATCATGTTACACTCATATTATTTATTTGCAAAATAAGTTATAAACAATACAATTTTTTTTTTAATCAAATGGTTTGCGTTTGGTTATTATTTTTGTTCATTTTAATGTGAAAACAAATTCGTGAGTTCTGTATGATGTGGATAAAACCGGAATGCTTTCTGGCGTTTATAGATTCCCATGTTGTTAGCAAAGCAACAGGAGAATATGAAGAAGATCAGTTGAAGACTGATCACACTGATGACCACAAACTTGTCAGTTGCAAGATACATGTATTTGATTATTTTGTCATTGCATCCCTTGTATAAACTGGATTCAGCATGGGTACCATTGTAGCAGCTTGAGGGTTTGGTGTGTCCTACTTCATTGTAATCGTTGGGAGAGTCACGACCGCAGCAGTAAAACCATTTCTGGATGGTATCGAAGGTACCTCCCTCTTTATGGCTCGAGTTCCAAGCATAGTCGATGGCGTCACCCACGAACTGCTCTACCGCTCCTTATTGGTGGACATCAGGACGAAAAGTGTCAGATGCAGGATTATCTGGATCAGCAAGATAACAGCATAACTTCGGGTTATAAAGATGGACTTTTGACAGGCACCGTAGCATCCCAGGATGAGATGAAGATCGCAATAGAGCATAGGATTAGCAGATACACAGGGAAGACTGCCTCTCCGTTACCTTCCAGTTCTCCGATGGTTTTCAGGATCACCATGCAGAAAAATGCGCACTCAATACTGATTACCAAAACAATGGCGTTGAATATGAAAAGGATATACTTGACTAGAGATGTTCCGCAGTCCATGTTGATATTTTGTAATTTATAAATTCCAGATTTCAGATTTTATTACCACAAAATGCGCGTCCGTTGAAGACGAGCTACTTTTTGAATAAAGTTGAAAGACATATAGAAAATAAATCATTTCTTTTTTTGGAACTGCTAAGTAGTATGTTGTCTGGTTTTTTTCGCAGCCACTATCTGCTCGAAGTTTAATTACAGGTTTTTATTGCGCTGTCTGAGATTTAGTTAGTTGTACGTATATAAAAATCTTTTACTTTAGGGTTTGGTAAGCCCCACTTAAAATAAAAAGTTAGTCAGTGATGGACATTTGTAGCATAAAAAGGTAAACATGGGGTTATCGTGGTGATTTAACCTGACCCCGCCTGTCCATTTCGCCTCCCTTTCCGTCCTTCGAGCTGATTACATTATTATTTGATAACTCTTATCTCGATTCACTTTCCGTGCCTGTTTGCCAAACTAATCTAAATATTTGACTGTTATGCTATAGTTCTTATCGGTGCGCTCGGCCGACCAGGGAAATCTTGTACAGGTCTGAGATAGGTGGCAAAATATTTAGTCATCTAAATCTGTTTTTCTTGCTCAGAAGAAACTATCAAAGTCGACTTATAAGTTAATCTTATCTTACCCGAAAACCAATATATGGTTTTCAATATTTTTGAGACTTTGAAAAAATTTTTTAAGTTGGTTTACTTTCCCAATCTGCAATAAAATATTGGATCAGACTTTGTCGGTTTTTAATGACTTACTATATTGAAAATAATTCTTTGAAGAAAGAAAAAAACCCTTAATTACCTTGTTTGATTTTTAATTTCATACTCTTTTTAATTCAATGAATTTATTTCTGTGCATATCTATTTAATTAATATATGAAACCGACGTGCAATGCAGTTGTTGGATCAGAAAAACGGGGTGGATAATGAAATCCTGGACGTGCAGTAATTTTCCGGGGGCGCTGCAAAGTATGCTATATTATCCGGGCGCAATTATCGGCTGAAGTGGAGCGCACTGGCATGATTTATATGCCTCTAATTTGAATCTGCCACTCAGGCGACTCCCCTTATCGCCCCCGATTGGCATAGCCGAAAGGTTGGCCCCCTGCTCTCAACTGAATGTTTTCGAGGCTTATCTTATCAAGCCCGTAGTCGGAGCGCACTTGTCCGGATAGGCAAACTTGTCTGATATCTGACGTTAATGTCGGACTCTCCCGCTCTTGCGATTTTTTTTTGGTTGGCAGCCAGGGTACAATATGATGGCTTCGAGGGTATGGAACCTTTCGCTCATTTACGGCTCGAACTCCGTACGTCGTGTTCTCCCCGAAAAAACAATATACGTAGCAGCCGAGTTATAGCCAAATCAAATACTATCAGTTCTTATCGGACCCGTGTGTGTGTTCCCTCGACCATCGATGGGCTTAGCCGGACTCCAGCGAACCAAACGGCGCAACCAATGTTAACTCCTTTGAGAGCTGCGATTTTTCGTGTCCCGGCGACAGTTCCTTCTACGGGAGGATGTGATCCCATAACAATTTCTATGAGTGCGAATCAAGTTTTCACAGCAGCAGCAGCAACAGCAACAGCTGAATAATGGCTCTGTTTTCGGGCGTACGCCCATTAATGAACCCACCGTGAACTTTGGCAATGGATCATTCTATAATGCCCCGTCCCAAAGATCCAACCCTTTGTGGGCGCCATCCTGGGTTCCAATATATCCTCTGGCGGGATGCAGAGATATCATCCCTATCACCAGCAACAGAATCAGGATGCCTTCTATCACCAGAGGGGCGGACTCCTGAACGTGGCCACGCCCTGTCGCGAAAGTAGTCCCTGGAGTTACGCCTACTGCTATGGCTACGCCCCCACCAACACACAGCCCTGCCAATTTTCCCAGTTCGTCGACATCGAAGACTTTATGTAAGTGAGCCTCGAAAGGTTGTCTGTTTGAAAACTGTTGTTTTTTTTGTGTTTTAAAAATTTTGGAAAATCTTCGTTTAGAATATTTTTTTCCAATATAAAAAGTTTGATTGGCCTGGTTGGCGAGGTATCCGTTACAACATAAAAACTTTTAATATCTTAAAAAATGCAATGCTTTTTTTATTCTTTAAAAAAATCATTGCACCAAATTTTATATAAATTCGGCTTATAAATATTTTGTAATTGATCTTTTTATTTTTTAACAACATCCACTTCTATTTATCGTGATACACATCACATTTTAAGGTGAAAATCCCAATTATTTACCCATTTGTTCCCCTTTTTCAACTTATTGATTCCTATTTTGAATAAATATTAGAATATAAAATTCAATTTGTACCATTTTTTTTGCAAATTTGTTCCACACTTTATAAGAATTTCAGTTACACAACTGCGAACAGCTCATCAAAACAAACAAGGTGAAGACCCAGTAAGAATCGGATAGAAGAAGGCCTCTGCGATCTAAACTCTTTTCCAAAGAGCTGGAAACCTCATTTTAAAAATTGGTTGTGTCCTATTGTAAAAACCGAAGCTAAAAGCAAACGGCGGGGCTCTTATCTATGCTTATTTGTGGATCGCTTTTATAATAATATTTAGATACGCAGGAAAAGATAGGCAGAGGGGGACGGAGCTATAGCCGACAGAGGTGGAATATATTGGATGAGTCAAGGTTCAGCGGGTTTCTCCCAGAGAAAGACTTTCCCTCTCTCTTCGATTATTCGGCAGAAATCTTTAATGACCGCAATCTAATTTATACAACTCATGAATTGTGTAATTGTTATCTGGCACCGATTACTTTATGTTGGGTGTTTCCCAAAGGTTTATCGGCACGTGGGGAAAGTTAAGGGGTTTCCTGGCGTCATGGGGGTTCCAAAATCCATACATTGATCAACGATTGACGCAGATTATAGCCCCCTTCCCTGGATTTCTCCTCATAAAAAAAAAACTAAACATGCAACGTGCGCGGAAATCAAATGGCTTTGGAATGGTCGCACTTTTTGCGTTTACTTACGTTTTGCACACGTTTAAGCCAAATTTGTGCTTGCCCATCTCCATGCTAATGAGCCAAAACCAAACTGACGCAATTGCAGAGGGCACGAGCTACCCGAAAATACCCGCCAAAGTAAAGAGACTCCCCCACATTATGCTGCTTCCAAGACCATCCAACATCCCTGACCCGATGTTGGCTCGATTTCCGGCCCCATGAACTTGGCATTAACACCTTCAGCTGTATTTTATGTGTTTTTGCTGATATCTCGCCCGGAGATACGGCGCATTTTAGCCGCTCCACCAGCGAGAATTTCGCAATGCTCGCAAATCCAGTTCAAACAGAAGCGGGTCAGTATCCTAAGGTGTTTTAGGATAGGCCAAGTTTACCTGAACACGAGATGGGTCGTGGTTATAAATTTGGAAATATCCAGTTTTCAGAACTTGGAAACAATTTACATTCAGGATTTTTTGATTAAAATATTGGGAATCAATAAAAAAAATATTTCCTTCTTATCAAAGGCTGATATCATATCTGTTATATGTAATTTATTAATCGGAAAGATCTGCTAATATTATATAATTGTTTTTTTTTTGGGTTGGTTAGTATTTTTTTTAATATAAATGAAATATATTTGCACCTGAATTTTTTTAGTGTATTGAGCTGCGCTTTGGAGCGGAAATACTTGGCAACAACATAGCGGCTACTGAGCAATAACAAGGCAATTCTGCTGGCACAGCCAGAATATTTAAAAGGCTGTAGTTGCTTCTGTTCTAATGAACAGACAATACCTCGATCGAAAAAATATATTTATATACCTACCTCCCCCGCGAAACCCCCTTGAATATCGCTCCGTTTAAGCAGGCCATTATCATGCAATTCAAAGCCACTCTATGCCGCTTTCTATGGGCTACCGACTATCGGATTTCTGTTTATTATTGTCTATATAATATATAGAAACCCACGAGTCTACGGGTGTGTATTTGTGTGCACTTTGATAGCGAGTGAAATAATATAATACTATATAATAATTCCAGTTCTGTTTCAACTTTTGCCAGGTTTCCATCAGTCAGTCGATTGATTGACAGCGAAAAACCCTCTTATCTCTACTTTTTTCTCACATTTAGTAACTTTCTTTCAATGTATGGTTTCCCCGCTTTGCCTTTATCATAGTTTTATCTTGGAGACCGAATACTCTTTTTATACAAGGCCATATAAAGTATTATATTTGGAATTCTCCTGAAGTGAATAACTATTATTCAAGAGATTGCAAACCTTCGTTTGTTTATTTTTAGATTTTCCCTGTATACAATCGATCGATTAATGGGGCGCTATCTCATGTTTAAAGATGTCATAATAAAAGATTACATTGAACTATTATAACGACTTATTTGCATTTAGATTATTGAATGGGTAATTTTTCAGAATAGAGGATTTCATATTCCTATCAAATTTAAATCCTACCTTAACTAAAAGTTCAACAAAATAGAAATACTTTTTATAAAATAGGCACTTAAGCTTTTATTAGACAGGAGGTAGACTGACACAAACATCACATTGTAGAATGCAGATTCACAGTCTTTGGCGGCTGATATGATGGCTTTTGTTCATTTGGACTCCCTTGCTGACAGGTGATACTTAAGGCTTGTTAACAGAAAGTTTCCAATTTCGCAATGTTGCCAACCGGATTTTCACAAATAAAACACCTGACGTGGGCAGGTCTTTTTTTCATACCATACCACAGAATCAATAAAGCAGCGATGGCAAATTTTACCAAAAGGCCAGGGTCACTAATGTAATGTACGTGCAAAACAGGCGTCTCCCGTGGATTATACAAGTTCGCCCTCTATTTCGATAATAAATAAAATATTAAGAAGGCACGAGTTAGTTGTTGTCGTGGATAAATTTCCGAATTAGTTTTCTATGCAGGCGGCAGCTCACGAGAATTTCTTGGCAAAACTTTGGTATAATTCTCCCCGCACTCCCGGGGGAGGGCCCATCCGTCTTTTCTTAGAATTTCCCAAAATATATGTACCGAGGTATATATAATGATAGTGCCCGTATGTGTGGGGTCAGTGCTCTGTCATATAGATGTATAAGAATGATTTGCCTGCTTGTTTGCCGATTATAACTTGTCGCCAATATAGACGAGTGGAGCCCCAAGGTTTAATGGGTCTTACTCGGCCGATCAAAGACAAGTCTGCAGAGTGGCTAATTACCAACTCATCGGGCAGGTGAGAATTTCAATCTTCCGATATTTCTCCCCTGCCGAAATATCCAAAAGTTTCCAAAGACCCTAACACCTGGGAATTGGTGCCAAGGCGGCAGTGGTGGTCTTTATCAGGACAACGTGTGACTGGTGGCTATTCTCGGAATCCCAAACTGGCATTCTAAACTACATATCTAAAGCCCCTGGGATCTTCTGCACGGTTGTGCCAAGAGAGCTCCGTTGTATGTCAGTATCCTCCAGGCAATACAGATGAATAATGGATTTATTCCGAATATTTTTCAACACTCTGTGGGTACTGAATTCTACGGAAGTTCCTTATCAGCATCGGCTGGAAAAAATGCTATTAATTTCACCAGCTTGACATTGGCATTCTTTGGCGAAATTCGGTTATACGGTTTGTAGAGTATGTTGATAAGGATTTAAAATAATATTAATTTTGTACTCAAGGCTAAAACTTATTAGATCTTTGAAATAAACTATTGTTTTTTGAGGTATTCTTGCTTTATTGGTAAAGGAATAGTTAGGGTGGTTATAATTTATTATGTTATTTCACAAAGAGTTAGTTGGGTAAAATAAAGCTGCTGTGAACTTTGGCGCCGTCTCGATCGCCTTCGCTTTTTTTCGCTTGGCCTGGCAACAAACGCGAAAATTACAAGCGTTTTGCTAAATTGGAAAATTGCGAGCTCTGGCCGCGTGAATTGAATCAGAAGCAATCAAACGGGAATAAAAGTGCAGCAATTGAAATGCACGCACATATTTCAGACAGCCCCCGCCCCGCTCTATTTAGCCCCCTTTTCGCCCCCTTTTTCAGTGGCGTACGTGATCGTTTTGAACTTATGCTAATTTTTCAACTCATCGATCTTGTTGCAGGAACAATGAAAAGCGCAAGGAAAAATCCCGCGATGCGGCCAGATGTCGTCGCTCCAAGGAGACGGAGATATTCATGGAACTCTCGGCTTCTTTGCCATTGAAAACCGACGATGTCAATCAACTGGACAAGGCCTCCGTGATGAGAATGACCATTGCGTTCCTGAAGATTCGTGAGATGCTAAGTTTGGTGGGTTTTCTTTTAATAAATTACGTTTTAATACCCATTCTAACAAATGATTTTGTTTCAGTGCCCAGTTTGCGTGACTGCAATGATGCCATCAAGCAGGACATAGAATCTGTGGAGGATCAGCAGGAGGTCAAGCCCAAGCTGGAAATGGGCAGCGAGGACTGGTTTAATGGAGCCGAGGCCAGAGAGCTCTTGAAGCACACCATGGATGGATTCCTGCTGGTACTGTCCCACGAGGGCGACATCACCTATGTGTCCGAAATGTAGTCGAGTATCTGGGCATTACCAAGGTGGGTGTTTCTGGGGGAATTCTGAATCGGAGGAATCTAATTTGGTTATTTGCTTTGCACACAGATTGACACTCTGGGCCAGCAGATCTGGGAGTACTCGCACCAGTGCGACCACGCCGAGATCAAGGAGGCCCTCAGCCTGAAGCGTGAGATTGCCGAGAAGGTCAAGAATGAGCCGCAGCAGGAATCCGGAGTGAGCACCCATCACCGGGACCTCTTTGTGCGCTTGAAGTGCACTCTGACCAATCGCGGACGCAGCATCAACATCAAGAGTGCCTCTTATAAGGTGGGATAAAGTAGAATATCCCATAAAGATCACATTATATAAAGAAAATATTGCTACTACTTATATAAGTACTCATAATTTATGCGCCTCTATTATAAATGTTGCACATCTTAGTAATATTGTAGAAATTCCAACGACCTCTGTCTAATACTAGCTTTTCTTGCTCTTGTAGGTCATTCACATCACTGGACACTTGGTGGTCAATGCCAAGGGCGAGCGCCTGCTGCTGGCTATTGGCCGACCCATTCCGCATCCTTCGAACATTGAGATACCTTTGGGAACCAGCACCTTCCTAACCAAACACTCCCTGGATATGCGTTTCACCTATGTGGACGACAAGTGAGATTCATATTATCACAGACGAGCACCCATTTTAATCACACAAGCTCTTGAATTGTGGACGCTTTGCTTGGGCTAGCTCACTAATTAAATTGATTGAATAATTGCTCTGCCAAAAGCGGCAAATAAATGTCGTCTGCTTCATAAATCATTGGGTTTTTTGCTAAACCAAAAGTTACATATTATATAAACATTTAAAGTTGATCTCTGTCTATAAATCATCAATTGTTTTTTTTTTGCCAATTATGTCATTATACAAAAAAAGCTACATTTCGTCATTAAACTGTAGTTCAATAGTTTCTAGTTTTTTCCATTAAAAAGCTCTATTTCCGCAATCAAAAATTCTTAATGCTAGAGCCAGAAACGTACGATTTTGACCCTAAAAAGAAATAAATATGCAACCCAACTTAAGATTGAAATGGAAACTCGGTACTCAGTAAGCATTTACAACAACATTTTTCTAACACGGTTATTTTTGCAGGATGCATGGCTTGTTGGGATACTCGCCCAAGGATCTGCTCGACACTTCCTTGTATGTATGCCATCATGGAGCTGATTCGGAACGCCTGATGGCCACCTTCAAGAGCGGTAAGTGGCGTCGTCCGACTCTCGAAACTCGCGACTCATTAAAACAAACTGCAGCTAACTAATGCTAAACTAATTACTTTAATGTGCAAATTAAAACGCGTTCGTCGTTAGTTCAGATGGGATGAGATGGTATAAAATGGGAGGAGATGGAGGGACATGGAACGGATAACAGAGGACAGGAAGGATGCCGGAAGAGTCCGGCACATCAAAACAAAGTTGTCACTCTTCCGCCGGCGTTACCTGTCCTGTGTCCTGTATCCTGGTGTCCTGGCGTCCTGGCCCCCAGGAACCCCCAGTAGTTCCTGTTCACGTCCAGCAGTTGCCATAGCTTATTGCATTTAATTAGTTGTAGCACCTTCCTCTTGTTCGGACCCTCCCTTCCCTTTTTTATTTTTGTTTCCGACACAAAGACCATTAGTCGTTGGCTTGACTTGGCTCTGCTTTAATTTCACTTTAGTTGCTAATTAGCTTTTGCGAAACTAAACGAATTGGTCAGGCAGGGAGACAGCTGAAATCTCTGTTCAGTCGGTACCTATCCCTTTCATATCTCTATCTTTTCATTTCAACAAGTTCACTTTTTGTACTGATTCAATTATGTTTCCGAGTAGATTTATTTATTTGGCATGACATTTTCTTTGGCCTGAGTCGGTGAATCTATTTAATCCAGCTATGCCTTATTGCCGCACCATCAGCAATCTCCCAAGGGAACCATTCCCACCCATCTTGCTTAGCAATCAAAGCCCCACCAAAGTCCTCAGCTCATTTGCAATCAATTTTCATAAGCCAAAGTTGCGTTATCGCGGTGAAATATCCAACTCGATCGATAGATAAATGGGTCTAGTCACAGAGAAAAAGAATATTATAATGAATATTATCTTAATCAAAATATTTTTGATAAAAATTGTATCGGTGAGGAAAATAGTTTTATGGGTGTTGGCTTATGAATAATATTAGGGGTAGGATATACCAGATAATATTATAATATACAAATATTTTAGATCTCAATTTCTTCACGTTTAAACTAACACTATATTTTTATTGATAAGCTGCTCTATCAAGAAGTGCAATTAACCGTATCATTTTGATAAATTACAAAATATCACTCTACTATTTTAAAGTCATGTAGATAAGTGGCAGCTAGGTAATATTTTTTGTTGAATATTTCCAAAAATATAAAAATTCGTGGTAATTTTAATATTTGAAGTATTATGAATAGTTTTTTTGTGGGAATTTATTGAAATTTTGTTTAAGTCATGCGAAGAAAGGAGGATAGTTCGATGTGAATCATTAGGTTGGCCAAGAATTAGTTGTTATTTTCTGCCCGAGCAGTAAAGTCATATTATTTTTCGGATTCAAAGTGTGGGAAGGAAATGTTGTTCCTTGAGCATTTTTCTTAATTTCTCCCCAGCTCATCGGGGCTCGGCTACTTGTTATTGTTTGCTTATTTGTTGCTCTTAATGGCCGCGTCATGTCGTCTACATTGGCCAAATAATGTTGCCACTGCCGATGTGGATGTGGATGCTCCTTTGGCTGGGATGCACTTAAAACGCCAACGCCAACGCGCTGGGTAATAAAAAGTCCTGTGCTGACCATTGTTCGGGGTACATTGTACCCAAAAGTGCCCAAAAGAGCGCATCCCGGAGCATCCCGGCGTCGAGGAACAGAAAATTGTCACTGCACTACAATTGGAATTATTATTGGCTGCGATGACTTTGGCTTCTTGGCCGGACATTTGCCCATCCTCCAGCTTTTCGTGTAGACACGTTCTGTGCGAAATGACTTTCGGTTTTATGATGCGACGTATCCATTTGACCAGGACGCTCAAGTCCTCGGTTGCAGCTGCCGATCCTGAGGAGAACTCAGTTCTCCGAGTGTGCATCTCGCATATCGTTAGCAAAACTTGCCAGCAAGTTGTAAAAATGTCTTCGAAAGTCGTAAAAGTATTTCATACATTTTTGTTTTTATTAAGTTGCTTTCGCTGCTCTGGCGAAGTTTCCCATATTTTCTTCCTTTTCCCCGAAAAGTTTCCTTTTGAAAGCTTGCTGCCAGCTCGCCATATTATTGTTTATGAGTGCTGTCCGCTTTTATTTCCATTTGATTTTCATCAAGTTTACATGGCTTTGTAATAAGGGGGTCAGCTGTTGGTTCTCCCTTAAAAGCTCCAGCTGTTCACCCTTTTTATTCTATGAAAATTCGATGATGATGATGGGCTGAGGTACAGTGAAATCCCAAAAAACAGAAGTTTCATTGGGCATTCCGCTCTCAAAATTATTTGTAATTTTTATTTCTTAAAAAGAAGAAGATAATTAACCTTAACTTACAATCCTTAAAATTTGTGCTATGAAAATGTTATCATTCACTATCGATAATAGAAACACAATACTCAATCCTTAATATCGACCCTTGTTTAATTGATTGCAGTTCTACTGTTTGCTCTCGGAAAATATATTTTCTGAAAAATATTGGAATTTAATAAAGACGTAAAGAAAATACTATCGAAAAAATCGAATTACTATCGATTGTTTATATCTTTCTTATTGTTTATTATTTTATGATGTTCTGGTAAATGTAACTATGTTATTGACTATTAGAGTTAAAACTTTGAGTGATGGACTTAAGATATAGAAGTACGTCTGTACCTCGTAATACCCCATTTCCTACTGATTTTCCCGTTTCCATTCTGTGCATGTGCACTTGTGCATGTGGTTGTTCGCCTGCAGATGGCGCTGCTCGCAAAATACTAAACGTCATGTGACAAACAGTTCAATAAAGTACAAAATGTGCGGAAAATCGCAAATGTCATGCGGGAAAATCTCGCATCGGGCAGCGTTTACCATTCGGATGTGTGTGTGTAGTGGGATGGAAATGGAAATGGGAAATTGCGTTCGAGCATTTCCATGCTGCAAATAAAGACGACAATTTGGCCGCGAGGCGAAAAATTATGAAACGAGCGGGTGGCAAAGGAGGAAAATGGCTGAGGATGTGGCAGTGGATTGAAGGGGGAAAAAGTAAACTTAACGTGCCAGATAAATATCCTCTGACAGACAGAAAGACAGACAGCGAAGAGATAAAGCCAGCTTCTTTTGGGTTTTTTATTTTTGGTTTTTTGGGGTAGAGTGTTGCAATAAATTTTGAAAAGCAACAAAAAACAATACCGAAAAGTGGCTTTGGCAGATTTGGCGCTGCGTGTGAAAAGTTCCCCTTCGGAAAATGCATTTTCCACTGAAGCTGGAGCTGCATTCTGGGGGCATTGCCGCGGCATTTGCCAGACATTCAACTTTCAACTCTTGCCACAAGCCAGTTTCAGTTTCCCGCTGTTTGTTTCTGTTTAAGTTTCCTTCCTCCAGTTGTGTGTGTTTCCTTCTTGGATTTTCCGAAGGGCAGCTGACAGTTGTTGTGTCTCGGGGGTGGTGGTGTGTTGTGGTTAAAGGGGCGGGTGATCCTTGGCAGGCACGTACCAAAAGGGGGCATGGCGCCAAGTGTTGCATACTTTTCGGCGATGGCCTACGCGAGGTGACTTCAAATCGAATCTCAAGAACGCCATATGAAGATAACTATTTGAAATAATATCACATTTCTCATGCCAACTAAGATTAGTATTACAATTTTTTAGGACTCATTCCTCAAAAACTTAGTTAAAACTGTAAAGGTGTCCAAAAGTATGCAATTAAAAGAGACGTCTAAGCTAAGAAGCAGAAATATATTGTAGCGTACTTTTAGGCACCTTCGAAAGTTATTTAAAATCTTGTTCTGAATTTCTTAGTTTTGAAACCATACAATAATAATATGCACAACAAATGGAATTTTTACTACACTTCTGTAAAACATAACTTTACAAATTTAAAGAGCTTAAAATTATAAAGATTCTTGCTTATACAACCTTATTAATTCCTTAATTCAGCTTGGCATTCGTGGATTTCAAGTGCAAGTTTGGCTCGGCAACTTTATTTTCATTTGCCCCTCACCCACGCGGGTTGTGTAATCAACATAACAAGCAACTGCCAGTTTACGAGTCTGTTAATGTCTCACACACTCCGGAGACTCCCATCCAGACCCAGACGAGTTTCCTGGCCATGTCCCGTAGTCGGTCGGTGCTATATAAACTATATGTCTGAGCCCCCGCGAATGCTTCCTGCCAAAAGTGTCGATGATGCTGACGCTTAGCGCTGCTGCCAAGTCGTTGCACTCATCAGAGAGCAGCTGAAACTCCCCCTTTTTTTTGGGGGCAGAACTTAACTCCCTCGAAAACTGTTTCACACAAAATTTATTTATCTTGTTCTGGCTAACATGGACAGTGGGGTAGGGAAAAGCTCTATAAAAAATTATAGCATTGCCAGATCAATCAATAAGCTTACTTCCAAAAAAGTCAAGCTCTGGAGAGTTATATATAAAACAGAAAATTTTAGAGATTTGAAAACATTTATAAAGGTGCCTTAAAGTATGCAGTGAAAATAGAAACTTCGTCTTTTGGATTTATATATATTGCATACTTTTAGACACCTTCTTAAGTAATTTCAAGCTCTATTGATTTTTTAATAAAAATTACTAACGTTTTAATAACTTTTTACCAATTTAATGCATTTTACAAACTCATCCCACTGTAGCCAAACCGCTTTATGTTAATGCACTTAAATTTAGTTCGCGGCGAAAGTGGGCGTATGGGCGTGGCTGGGCACGGGCTGTTTGCAGCAGCCGCATTCTATTACATGCATAATTCCGCCGAGGGATCCTCGCTGGTCCGCCTCGGTCCACTTGCTCTCCTTCCATGTAATCCACATCTATTCCCAACTCCACTGCTCGTCTCTTATTTATTCGTCTGCATCGTCTGGGCCATGAAAGCGCCAAACTAATGCCGTCGAAACTAATGGTCCAATTCGAGTGGCTCGTCGGCATCCTCATTTCGGCAGCGGACTGACTCCTGCTACTCCTGCTGTAATCCTTGACGCGACTCGACTCGCCTCGCCAGGATTGTAAAATTTTCCAGTTAATTTTAGCATCCT